TTTAGCCAAAAAAAAAAAACGACGATGTATAGTAAGGCGTTTTTAGCTGAAAAAAAACGACCATGTATTGGAAGGCGTTTTTAGCCGAAAAAACTACTATGTAAAGTAAGGTCTTTTTAGACGAAAAAAAAGACCATGTATAGGAAGTCGTCTTTAGCCGAAAGCAACCACCATGTATAGTCAGGCGTTTTTAGCCGAAAAAAAAGACCATGTATAGTAAGGCGTTTTAACCCGAAAAACCCGACCATGTATAGTAAGGCGTTTTTAGCCGAAAAAAAACCACCATGTATAGTAAGGCGTTTTTACCCGAAAAAAACCAACATGTATAGTAAGGCGTATTTAGCCGGAAAAAAACGACCATGTATAGTATAGGAAGGTGTTTTTAGCCGAAAAAAACGACCATGTATAGTAAGGCGTTTTTAGCCAAAAAAAAAACGACCATGTATAGTAAGGCGTTTTTACCTGAAAAAAATGACCATGTATAGTAAGGCGTTTTAAAACGAAAAAAAACGACAATGGACAGTAAGGCGTTTTTAGACGAAAAAATTGACCATGTATCGTAAGGCGTTTTTAGCCGAAAACAACCACCATGTATAGTAAGGCGTTTTAACCTGAAAAAAACGGCCATGTATAGTAAGGCGTTTTAACCTGAAAAAAACGGCCATGTATAGTAAGGCGTTTTAACCTGAAAAAAACGGCCATGTATAGTAAGGCGTTTTAACCTGAAAAAAACGGCCATGTATAGTAAGGCGTTTTAACCTGAAAAAAACGGCCATGTATAGTAAGGCGTTTTAACCTGAAAAAAACGGCCATGTATAGTAAGGCGTTTTAACCTGAAAAAAACGGCCATGTATAGTAAGGCGTTTTAACCTGAAAAAAACGGCCATGTATAGTAAGGCGTTTTAACCTGAAAAAAACGGCCATGTATAGTAAGGCGTTTTAACCTGAAAAAAACGGCCATGTATAGTAAGGCGTTTTAACCTGAAAAAAACGGCCATGTATAGTAAGGCGTTTTAAAACGAAAGGAAACGACAATGTATAGTAAGGTTTTTTCGACGAAAAATTCGACCATGTATCGTAAGGCGTTTTTAGCCGAAAAAGACCATGTATAGTAAGGCGTTTTAACCTGAAAAAAACGACCATGTATAGTAAGGCGTTTTTAGCTGAACAAAACGACCATGTATAGTAAGGCGTTTTTAGCTGAACAAAACGACCATGTATAGTAAGGCGTTTTTAGCTGAACAAAACGACCATGTATAGTAAGGCGTTTTTAGCTGAACAAAACGACCATGTATAGTAAGGCGTTTTTAGCTGAACAAAACGACCATGTATAGTAAGGCGTTTTTAGCTGAACAAAACGACCATGTATAGTAAGGCGTTTTTAGCTGAACAAAACGACCATGTATAGTAAGGCGTTTTTAGCTGAACAAAACGACCATGTATAGTAAGGCGTTTTTAGCTGAACAAAACGACCATGTATAGTAAGGCGTTTTTAGCTGAACAAAACGACCATGTATAGTAAGGCGTTTTTAGCTGAACAAAACGACCATGTATAGTAAGGCGTTTTTAGCTGAACAAAACGACCATGTATAGTAAGGCGTTTTTAGCTGAACAAAACGACCATGTATAGTAAGGCGTTTTTAGCTGAACAAAACGACCATGTATAGTAAGGCGTTTTTAGCTGAACAAAACGACCATGTATAGTAAGGCGTTTTTAGCTGAACAAAACGACCATGTATAGTAAGGCG